CAGCTGCTGAGGGGGCCCTGTGCAGGGGACTTTAGGTGGGGTGGGGTGGGAATGCGACAGGCGTCTGGGCTGCGCCACCCCCTTCATGGCTCACCTCCAGAAAGAAGCTAATGGTCTGGGTAGGCGGCACTGAAGGCCTTTTATTCTAAGAGGCTAGGCTCCCCCTGCTTCTGCTCAAAAGAGGGCTTATCCCAGGCTGGTGAGCAGGTGGCTGACAGCTGCTTCCTCTACGGGCAAGATGGTCTCCGTGGCTGCAGAGCCGGCCCAGATGCCGCCTCTGTGCGTGAGAATGCACCCCCCCACCCCCGCCCCGCAACCCTCCGGCTGAGCCAAGTCTCTCTGCGGCTGCCAGCAAAGGGCCATGTGCAGTGGGAGGGGCGTGGATCCCACGGATCCTTGAGCTGCTCGTGGCCACTATCCCCTCTCTTCTTCTAAAGGCCCTTTATCTTAGCAACTGCCGGACCCTGAGGCAGGAAAGGAAACCTGTTTGCCCTCCCCTCTCATTGCCCCACATTCCTGTCCCTAGGAGTCAGGCCTGCTTCTCCTGGGATGCAGGGAAGTTTGCCCTGACCCAGCAGGCTACACGGTCTCCAGGGCTTCTGGTGGTTTGAATGAGATAAGGACACTGGAGGTCCTAGAGGCCCTTTCGCAGCATGCAGCTCACCCCTTCCTTGCCACTGCCAGGGGCGTGCTGCCATTCTAGGTCCGGGCAGAGTTGCTAACTGAAATCATACTTGCTTATTGGTCATAACTGATCCGATAAAGCATTACTGGAAAACCCTGATGATTTCATTTTTTAAGTATATGATTAAAATACTTGCCTTTACTATCCCAGTAAGCCTACATACCGCTGTTCTGCAGCAAGGGGTGGGGACTCTGTTTTAATCTATTGCAGAGCCATTCACATACTGCGCAGCTTGAATGGCAGCGTCCACATCCGTCCTGTGTCCCGTGTTTCTCCAAAGGCTACAAGTCAAAAGTGTAATTCTGACCTAGGGATCAGTTAGAAAATGGTGTGCTGAAGGTGCCTGGTGAGTTGATTTGGTTTTGAAAGACTGGAATTTTTTTTTTTAATTGCCAATTCAAAATCCAGTTTTGTTTTTTGTTTTTTGCGTTTTGAAGGCCTCACGGAAAAGCCTATGTGACAAGTAAGCCATCCCTGTTAAGTGCAGCTCATGGAGCACCGCAGAGTGGCCCTGGCCAGGGCAGAGCGCCCTCCGGAGTGAAAGACACCTGATTTTGTTTCCAGCTCACGGAGGTCCCGGTTTTCTGCAAGCACAGCTTACGGTCACCTACCCTGATAGACTTTCAACTGCCAACAGTTCCATGACTGGTTCTGGTCCCCAGAAAAGGTTTAGAGACTGAGCCCGGGGATGTCTGCAAACCAGGACCCGCATCTCTAACAAACTCCTTTCTGAGCACCTACACAGACCAGCTCCTGTCCCGGGTGCTTTGCACATGCCATCTCCAATGCTGGCAGCCACTCTGCCTGGAAATCTAGGTTTGATCATCCCCCTTCTGCTAATTCGAAAACAGAGGCTCAGTTCCTCCCCAGGGCCTCACCCAGAGTAAGCATGAATGTCAGGATTCAATTTCAGGCTGGCATGTCCAAATCCCTTGTTCTTTTCCACCTCGTGGCTGGGAGGCAGCTCCACCCCCGCAACCCCGCCCCGCCCCTGATGGTGCCGGCAAGGCTGTCCTCAGTGCCTGGGGAGATGGGGCTCTTTCCCCCACCTTGGGAAGGGCTTCTTGGAGCCTGCGCCGTGTGGACGCACTTGCCCACCCAGTGGCGCCAGTAGATGAGACAGCCAATACTTGTCCCTGGATTGACGGTGGGGGACGTGACTCAGCATCCCTGGAAAAAATGCCGGGCGGGGAGGATGACAGCGGCCGCGAGCTATGCAGCGCCAGAGGGAGCAGAGGACTGATCGCACTGATGGTCCTAATAGAGAGAGAGAGCACGCACAAAGGGCTGGGCAGGGCAGAAACAAAACAAGCCCGCACCGCGCCGACCACGCGGCCAGGGAACAGCATGGGCAGATAATTGGCTAATCCAATTTCCAGCGCGCTTCGGCCGCCATCATTTCTCACCAGGCCTCCAGCTTCGCCAGGAGCCCAGGCTTCTGAGCGAGCAAAAGGCCAGGAATTGACTCCCATTTCCACCCCTACAGCCACCTCTACCTCCATTGTGTAGGCATCTGTACACAGGCTGCAACGTTCATGTCCCCTGAGCAGCTGAGCGCCAGCACTACCCACCTCTGCGGCTCCCAGGTGCTTCCCCAACCCACTCTAGATCCCCTTCTCGTCCTGGGTGTAGCTGAGGAGAAGAGCACTGGGTCTGGGTGTATGATCGGCCATCAGCAGGTTGTGTGACCTCGGGTGGCTGCTGGAGTTCTGTGTGCTTCAGTTTCCTCGTGTGTGAATGAGATAATCATAGATAACAGTATCTACCTGCTGAAATGGGTTGAACTGTGCCCCCCGCCCTCCTGAAATTCATATGTGGAAGCCCTAACACCTAGGACCTCAGAATATGACTCTATTTGGAGACAGACCTTTAGAGAGACGATCAAGTTAACATGAGGCCGGCAGGGTAGGCCCTGATCCAACCTGACTTGTGGCCTCACAGGAAGAAAAGGAACAGGAGGGGCGTGGTCACAGAGGAAAGGTCCCATCAGGATGCAGAGTGGAGGTAGCCACCTATCAGCCAAGGACAGAGACCTCGGAAGAAACTCACCCTGACTCTGCCTGGATCTGGGACTTCGGCCTCCAGAACTATGAGGACATAGGTTTCTGTTGTGTACGCCACCGGGTCTGCAGTATTTTTTATGAAAGCCTTAGCAAACCAATACACTTCCTCAGAATTGCTGGGGGAGTCACCTCAAGGAAACATCTAAATTGCTCTGCAAAGTTCCTGGCTCCTCAGAGCTTCCTCTAGTGCTGCCACTTCTGAATAGGCAGCCACTTCCTTCCTTACCGCTGGTTTTCTAAGTCTTTCGAAGTCTGAGCTCTGTCTCCTGGGTGGTGGAAGGTTAAGTCTCTGTAAGAGGTCAGGAGGTTCTTTGGGGGCACAGGCTGCAGCGATCTTGCCTTCACCTCCCTTCAACCCAAGCGCTTCATCTAGAAGAGGTGCTCACAAAACATTTGCAGACACAATTTTTTTTTTTTTTTTTTGATAAATATCTAGGGACTAGAGCAGGGGACTAGGCAGACACAGTCTCTACCCTCAGGGAGTTAATGGTTTAGCAGGAAAGGAGGAGACATCGTTTGCTTTAAGCCAAGAAGCGCTGCACGGAGGTCCCGGCTTGAGTCCTGGTGATCCGAGGGTGGCAGAAGTCACCCCGTTAGCACACAGTTGCCCATGCTGTCCTGGGCGTTGTGCTAAGTGGCTTCTACAGTAACTTACTCAGTGTTCGCAACAGCCCCAGGCGGTGAGCTCTGTTATTATTTTAGTTTTACAGACGAGAAACCTGAGATGCAGAGAGATTCCTTTCCTAGAATCACATGACTTGTAAGAGTTGAAGCTGGGATTCAGGCTCAGTCTAGTGTCAGAGCCCAAATTTTAAAGAGTGCTGACGGAACCCTGGCCAAAGACAATGCCCTCAGGCTTGGGACTTTCCGTCCCCATGGTGGCACAGGCGGCCACTGCGACATGGGTGGCGGGCTCAAATTCCCATCTGTGCTGCGGGATGAGGCACCAACGGGAGCCCTGCTGGCGATGGAGCCCCGCCCTTTCCGTGCAGCCTGCAGGAGGGCTCTGCCCCACGCCTTCTGGACAGCGAAGCAGGACAGATCCCAGCTAAGAAGTGTGCCCACCGGAGGGAGTTATCTCAGTGACGTCTCTTTTGCTTCCCTCTGGCCTTGGCTTTCACTGGGCTGATGTAGATAATAAGACCAGATGGGACTTTGCTTGGTTTTTCCACATTTACTGTGTTCATGAGATGCCCTGCGTAATGTTGTTGGCCATCGGTAAGAGGTTTTTCTGTCATGGCCTAGGAGATAGATCTCAGATGTCAGCGGGGTCCCGGATCAAGCAGACACTGTAGGGACAGCGGGGAACCTGTGAGAGGGCACTCAAAACCTGTCCCACGGGGAAAGGTTGGGCCCGGAAGAAGGTGTGAAGCTTTGGTAGTGAGCTTTTAGTGAGTTGTTAGTGTCCTGCCCCGTGGAAGGGAAGGAGTATGGTGGGTCCCTTGGAAAGCCTGACAAGTGCCCCCTGATGCTTGGGGACCCAATAGAATGATGTCTGATTCCAGCCTGGAAAATCAAAAACATTAGCAGGGGCTGGCGTGGGGCTCTGGCTGCAGAGGGAAGGCAGAGCAGCTGCTGCCTTGTACTTCTAGGAGCGAGGAAGGTCCAGATGCTGCCAGCAGGCCCCCTGTGGGCCTCTTGAGACAAAGAGACTGGCGTGGGGTCATCCAGGGAGCTGTCCAAGAGGGGGTCCTGGAGCGCGAGCAGCTGCTGCGGAGAGAAGCTGGAGCACAGCCCAGGGAGGAGCAAGGCTGCAGCCAGAGTCGGAAAGCTCCCGGCCTTCTTGGGGGAGCTGGAGGGTCGAGGGAATCCCCCAGAGGCAGGGTCTTCAAGGAGATGGGGTCTCTTTCCAGGCCCAGAGAGCCCGAGGTCAGTCCCGCATGGCATGTGCAGCAAGGATGTCCTCCTCGCTCCCTCTCCCCTCCTCCTTCCCTGTTCCTCTTAGTCCTAAAGGAGCCAGAAACCCCTGAGGAGCAACTGGGGTAAGAAGGAGTGGAAAGCAAAGCTGGAAAGAGAGGATCCAATCGCACCCCTCCCCTGTGGGTGGGCCTCCCATCTGCCATGGCCCAGGCTGCCCCATGCCTTGCCCAGTCCACAAAACTAGAATTTAGGGGCGATCGTTTGCATTACATAAGACTTTTTCATTCAACCCAAAGCATTCACCTTAAAAGAAATGTCAGCTCTCCTTTCAAGACAGGCTTTCTCTGGTGCATTTTAATTATGTGCATTGTTAAGATTTTGTATATCTCTGTCATCGCTGTGCCTGAAAAATGAGCTTTTGCAAGCAGGTACTACCCCTCCTTCTCCTTGGGTCCCCACCACGGAGCCCAATCACCAGGGACATTCAAAGATTTGATGACGAATGCACACTTTTCAGGGACACCCCAAGTGTATGAAGGGAGTACAGTCATAAACAAGATCCACCACTTCATTTCAGGTGGCCCAGCGGCACAAACACACCAGCCACCCCTGAGCCTTTTCTCTCCCTGCATTTTCTAGCAGTAGGTGGTACTAATACAAATACCGCTCGTGTTTGTATGGCACAATACAATTTCAAAGGCATTCTCATAACCCAAAGTCACCCTCCACCCCCACCCTCATTCCAAACCATGCCGATTCCATTTCCACCCACTCCGCTGTCACTTTCCTGGTGGCTGGCCCCGTGCCAGCCTCGGCTGGGCAAGGCCATGTGCTCCCCTGGGGAGTCCATGTGTTATGTGAAGCGTTTCCTCATAGAGTCAGCCGGCCAGCAATGTGGGCAGAGAGCGAAGGGCAGCGTGTTTAGGTTCTGTTTATTGTGTCTCACAGCCTTGTTTATAGTCAAGGTGAATGACATTATTCCACTTTGCATGGTAATGAAAACAACTCAATGAGGACTCCATCAGCCAAGCGGTACATGTGGCAGATGAGCTGCTACGAATGTGTTGTGCACGCCGCGTGACTCAGCTAATGCTACCGTGGTCAGTGAGCACGCGGAGACCAGCCACCTTTTCTGCACCTGGCAGAGGGGAGGGAGCAGGGGGCAAAGGGAGTAAGAATCAAGAAGAGGGCAGTTTATTGGGAGGACCCAGCCTGCAGACCTGGGAAGGCCAGTGGCCCGTCCTGCAGTCTCGCCCACAGAATCCAATTGAAGTCCTGAGAGGCCACAGGGGCAGGAAGACATCTCTGCTCTTGGGTTCTTCCTCCACAGCCTCGTGCCAAGTGGCATGGGCTCTTGATGACACCTCTCTTGCTTCCAACCCGGAGGGACGCAGATTTAAAGAGGATGGACATGGGCCGATTGAAGGACAGCATTGGATGGAAAATCATAATTCCGCTGCCCTGCTTGGATGTGGGCACAGAGAGGGTCAGGAGAGCTGTGGGCTGAGCTTGTTGATGGGAGACCATTCTGCCTCTGACTGTGCCTCTCGTCACCTCTCCCTTCTGGAAGAGACACCACAGTTGCCACCTGCCTCCCCCACCCCCTTCCTCTTGTCTTCCCAGTCTCACCCTGGCCCAGCTCTCAACACAAAGGGCGCACGCCTTCCCCTCACAGCCCAGGACCTGGAGTGTCCGGACCCCGGCCCAGCCCTCCCCAGGGGGGCGGCGCCCAGGGTCTGCAGCCTGGGCAGGACACTGCTGCCTCACAGCTTCGGCTGATTCAGAGCAGCAGGCTCTGGGGAGAGCACCAGAGAGTAAAATCATCTTTCCAGCTGCCCATCCCGCGTGAGGCCAAAGAGGGAAAAGTGAGGGCTTGGGACAGGAATTGAAACCGCACCATGGCCTTGGAAAAGAAAGCCTCGAAGAGCTTGATATTCCCAGGATGTGACACCCTCCTCTGAGGAATCTGGAAGTCATTGAGCTACCACTGTTATGACTAACACACACCTCCTTCGCCCACTACCTGAGTTCCAACTGTTCCAAGGCCATGTCGCATGGCCTTGGGGACAGAGGCACCGTCTAGCATGAAATGGCCAAATATAAGAATACATGAAAACAAACAAATGCAAAACAGCCCAGGAGGCCAGCTTGGAGGAAGCACTGAGAATAAGACTGGGGGGCGTGGCAAAACCTCTCTTAACCAAGTCTCGCTCAGCCCCCACTTTTGGCATACCTGCTGCCCGACAATGCGTGTGGCCAGGGCAGAAGCGTGATACTTGTAGCTCAAAGGAGCAAGTCAGACTGAAAGGGCACCGAGGCGGCCACGCCAACCGTCAGACTCAGGGCTGGCGCGTCCCAGGTCGCTGTGCTTATTTGCGTCCGGGTGTGCTCCCGCCCTCAGGCCCACACAGTGGTGTTTTCCCCTCAGCCACGCTCCTCCTCACTCCTCAGGCCCACGCTTCCTAACCTCACCTGTACATTGCAATCACCAGTGAAGCTTTACCGACTATTAATGCCTTGGGTCCCAGTGCCAAGCTGTTCTGGGATGGGACCGGGTGGGACACTTGGGTTTTTAAAACTCCCCCAGATAATTGCAATGAGCAGCCAAGGATGGGAGCCACTATCTTAGACCGTCTCTTTTCAAGATACCAAAGTATGGCCTCCTACGCACCTAGGAGCTTATTAAAAATGCAGATTTCTGAGTCGCGCCCCAGGTCTGTCGGACCCGCATCACTGGGTGTGGAACCTGGGAATCAGCACTGGTAACAGACTTTCCAGAGTGGGGTGGGGTCTTCCTCGGTGCTCACATTTAGCAATAAATACTGCTCAGAGGGCCCTTCCTCACTTCAGCAATGCCCGGGCCTATGAATAGCTGTCACTAATCACACTCTATTTGGTTTGCCAAGGGCAACAGGAAATTCCACACCAGACCCCACACAGTTTAACTTGAGTAGGACCAAAAGGCCACTCAAAATGGAGAACAGTCCCCAAGTCATAGATTTACCCAGCCCACTGCCTTGACTTGCCCTGGGTCTTCAAAGGTCCCAGGCCTAGAGCAGGCCTCAGGCCCAGAAGTCAGTCCACAGCACAAGCTGGCTTGAGGAGCAAAGGAAGACGTGATATGGAAGAAGTGGCCCCCGTGGATGGCCACCTACGTTGGCGATACGGGCTGTGGAAGAGGAAGTGGGAGAGCAGGCAGGACCGGGGGAGGCGGAAGATCGGGGATGAGGTATGCTTGGATATTGCTCTAGATGTTGTAAACATTTCTGTTTTGTCACAGAACAAAATCTGGGTTGGCATGACCAAAGTGCCTGAAAGTGGGCACAAGAGCGCAGAGCTCTGTGCCTTTTGTGGGAAGTGGGATATAAAGGTGGGAGAACAGCCCCACCGCCCGGGAAGGTCCTCTCTGTGATCACTAGTCTGATGCTCACACTTGTCTCACACGCGCATACACACTCCATGGGAGTACGATAAATATAGCTATCCTGTTCCTCTACACACACCCACATACCCTCGCTTAGCAGCAAAATTCAGGATACCCGAGCTTGGTCCTTCAGGCCTCCCCCTCGTGGGGGGAAGTCGCCAGGCACCACAACACCACCCTCTGGTAGCCGTCATTCCTCCAAGAGTTGGCAAGAACTCTAGGGCCCCAGGGAGGCCACTGCATGATACTCTCGTTCAGACTTTTCTCCTGGGGAGAGTGGAAGTGGTAAAAAGACCCCTCTTCGAATGTTTCAGATTTCCATAACTCCAGCTGTTCCAATTTCTATGCACACCCCCTATTTGACAGTAGAGTTGGCAGCAGATGTACATTTCATATGTAAACAATGTTTAAAATACCCTGTTTGAGAATTTGATCATTACGTTAATTCTGGCAGCTTTAGCTAAGGATGGTTTGGGTTTTTGTTTTTGTTTTTTTACCAGTGGGGGCAGGGGAATACCACCTGATCTAACTAGGAATACCCATTTGAGGCTTCAGAGTTCTTGAACTTGAAGTTCCACGGGTCTCTGCAGTGTGAGAACTAGGAGGCATGTGTTTCCTTTCTCCTTGGCGGTTCATACAGACACACACATTCTCCCTCACGGGCACAATGCGTCAGAGCAGGGCAGTGGACCCGATACTGGTGGGACTCGAGAGCCTCCCTGGCCTGGTCTAGCTGTAGCCAACCAAGGGAGAGAGTCGCAAAGTTCTAGACAGGAACGCAAACATTGAACCCGCCCTCCACCGTCCCTCGTGTCTAAAAAGGCGCATCAGCCCACGAAAGGAGAACGTTTCAGCCCAGTTCTCAACCACCTGCACTCCAGATGCTGTTCCACTGAGTCAAGCCAAAAGTCTGGGAGATCCGCCATGCCTCCCAATCCATCGTCTTTGAATGATCCCAAAAGTTCCTTTGCCACATTCTTCATGACTCAGTTCACTGGAGACCAGCTTCTTCCAGGGTCCTCTTCCACTTTCTGGTCTCTCTACTGAGAATTCATCTCCTTGGCACTGCAATCTTGTGCCAAAGTCAGTTTTTTCCTGGGTAGCTGGGGTAGGTTCCTTGTGTCTCGCTCATCCTCCAAGAAAGAGTTTCCTGACATATTTCCAAGAATAGCCCCAGGGTTCCATGAAAGCATTTCAGGAAGGTTCTCTACAATCAAATGTTCCCAGTGATCTCCTTAGCCTCATGTTCAATCCTGAAAGGTCAGAGATCAAGGAGGAAGCTGCTGAATAGGCAAGGTGGCCCTCATGAGAAGGACCTTTCTAAGGAAGCACGTTCCCAGGAAGCAAGCTGGAAAAAAGAGTTATGGCCTAAGTTCCCATTCTCCCCCATCATAATTACATGACCTGCATGGAAGGAGGGACAGAGAGAGGCAGGGAGAGTATTAGGCACCGTGAGAGCTGTCCATGCTATCGGGAATTCACCTCCCTTTGCTAAGCCGTCTGTCGTTCTAAGAGATCGGGGATGTGTGATGCCACAGGGAGGCGAGGGCAGAGGGTATATTAAGCAGCAGGAAGGTTATATGGTGCCCCGTTGCACAAGGGTGTACTGGTGCTACATTTGCTCAACTTCTGGGAAACTTCTTGGTAGAATTTAGGAAGATTTGCAAGCTGTATCTTTCTTAATAGCAGCTCCACATCACAAGTCATCAAAGACACCCTTCAAGACCCTTTCTGGAAGGGTCTTGCAAGGGTAGGGGGTTGGTCTTGTGAATTTCCTAGGCTAAGATGGGATGGGCAGTGAGCCCAGCTTCTCACACTGGTCCTATGGGAATGGAAGAAACAGCCAACTCTGTGGAGTTTGCCCCTTCTCCCACGGGCCACCTGCCAACGAGAGTGCTAGAAACCCAGGGTTCCGCAGAGGCCTCTCCCCTAAACTGTGAGGTCCCAGCACCCAGGACTGGCCATGACACTGACCGCAAAGCTCAGAAGTGAGCCGGCCTTCCCGTTATTCCTCTCAGGGGTATAGGGCAAGCTCGAGAGTCAGGAATCCTGACTGAGGAGGGTGTGGAAGGGATGGAGACTGCATTTGTGTTCTGTACAGATCAGCCCAGCCTAGCGAATCTGCCTTCTCGGCGGAGATGACCCAAGGCATGGAGGGCAAGCTGCTCACCCAGGGAAGGGCGACTGCAGCAGAGTGCGACCGCTAACCAAAACACAGCCTTGGGTAATGAAATAGAGTCCCAGTTGCGGTGACTGCATCACACTTCGGAATGGCCTCATCCCCTTCTCACCCCCAGCCTCCCAACCTAAACGCCACTGCTTTTGAACATCTATGACATTTCATGTTAGAATATGGTCTTGGCAGCAAGGGGCAGGGAAAGCCGCTGATCTCCAAGAGTCCCCATCTGAGGTCTAGCTGAGCCTCCTCTGGCTTTGGGACAGCAAATCTAAGTACATTTTGGATCTCAGGAACCTGGGGTAAGAGTCTTTTTCCATGAGGCTGTGTACTTTTCCCTGGGCTTGGTCAAAGCAAGTCAGGGATGGCTCTTGCATGTTCTTCCTCGTGGCCTCTCGGGTCTGGAAGTCTATGTTTACCTGGAGACACAAAGAAAGAGCATGGTCACAGGCTCTCCATGGCCAATGCACCCGGCAGCTGGCCCTAGCTATGTAATAATCAATAGTTGCATCTTATAGAGGTAAGGGTAGTCATGCTTTCCAAACTGCTTTCATGGAGGTCATCCCTTTTGATTCCAGAAAGGATCCTGGAGGTCTGAAGACCAGAGAGTCCTCATCCCAATTTACAGATAAAGACACTGAAGTAAAGACATATTAAAAAGCTGGTCTAAAGTAATATGGAAATTTAGCAACAGAGCCAGGACAAAACCCCAATTCATTTAACTCTTAATCCAGAGGCCTTTACAATATCAGGCAAAGAGGAAAACTAGAGACAGGATGAACGTGTATTCCCTGAAGTGAGCTTGCCCTCTTGACCTTTCTTAACGACTAAGAAAACAAACGCTCCAGGGAGAGAGAGACTGTGGTTGGAATGCACATCTCTGTTCCAAGCAGTGTTGTATGAAGCCGACAGCATCCTGGCCACTGGCCAAAGACCTCCTTGCAGCCTGAGTCAAAGCGCAACTGAGGAGTCCTAGGTACGTAATGCACCTGAACTCATTGGCAGCAAATATTTTTCTGCTATAAAACCCTCTCAAGTAAATTTCTCTTTTACAGCTCAGATCAACAGCACATTGACTTCATTTTCTTATTATAAGTAATTGTAATAAGTGATCATAAAATTATATAAATGACTGTAATTACTCATAAATAAGCAGTGACAAATATTCAATAGGTGCTTTATCCCTCATACTTTGAGTAGTCTTGAGAGGAAGGTGTGGTTATATCATTTTACATTGGGGAAAATGTGATTCAGAGGGCCTAGGTAACCTGACCAAGATCACACAGCTAGTAAGTGGTGGAGCTGAGACTGGAACACGATTCCAAAGGGGAGGCTCATTCCATTACGCCACCCTGCCTCCCACCGGGAAAACTTGCATGGACCCAGTGGTGTCCACGCTTGCCGAATCCCTATAGAACCACAGCTCCTGAGGGCAGTGTTTAACTGACAGGCAGCTAAAGCACGCCTAATAGAGCTCCTTTTCTACAAGCCCTGGGCTCTGCCCCTTAAACGATCCCCTTTTCATCAAGAGCCATCAGAGACGTGAGGCTCAGTTCAAAAGAAAGTCCCCATCATGCCTGGTTCAAACCCCCACGAGGAGGGAGGTGTGAGCCAGGAGCCACGGACAGAGGTCTGACAAGACGCTCCCCACCAACACACCTCCCTCGGAGCCTGCACATCCACAAACTCCTCAAAGATCCTATGGGCCTTGGAGACCAGTTTTGCAGTAGACCTGGTCTTCTTGAACTCCTCACAGGCCAACCAGAATTCCAGGTTCTCCTCGCTGAACTCCGTCTTCAAGAAGGCGCGGAATGCAGCCACCCCATCTGTGGATGTGGAGAGAGGTGAAAAGGAAGAGAGACAGGGAGAAGCTTAAGCTCAAGAACTGTAGAAGAAAGAGAGAAAGGTAGTAATAATGTCAGAGTGACCCTGACTGTCCAAGTCCCCATGCTCCTCCATATCCTCTTGAAGACTTTGTGCTCGTAGACATGCAGGTACTCAGAAGCAAGCCCTGCTTCTTAGACGAGGATCACAGTGATGTTAAGGAGAAATGATTGGGAAAGCACAGTAATAATGACTATGGGAAGGCTTGGTCACTTCCAATCAGCCCTCAGAGGTCACTGTCTATCCCCTATTGTAGACTTGGCTGCCCCCAGGTCTACTGAGCCAGTGTTTCTAATTAGGCCAAAGTAAGGCATGTAATACACTCCTTACCCTAACCTAAGTCAACCACCTTGCAAAAAACGATCTATTATGACATGAATTAGGAGGAGGTATGAATTCCTCAGGGCAAATCCTTCATCACTACCAGAATCATGTCTGAAAGTAAACACCTACTGAAATGCAGGTTGTAATGTCACTTATTCTATTGCATGGAAGCAATTCCCAGCCTCTTCTAGAACACCTGGGAGGCCCTGCATTTTTCGGTGCTCAACCTGCGGCCTGCAGGCCACATGCAGCCCAGGATGGCTGTGAATGCAGCCCAACACAAAATCGTAAATTTACTGAAAACATTATGAGACTTTTGTGTGTGTGTAATTAATTGCCACAATGTATTTAATGTGTGGCCCAAGACAATTCTTCCAGTGTGGCCCAAAGACGCCAAAAGGTTGGACACCCTTGGATAACATTGATCACTTATTTTCAAAGATCTTGCCTATCAAATTATATGTTTTAATGAACATCAATCACAAATTTTGTTCTGAATGACAATGACTACACCCTTTCACTTGCATTCAAACAGAGCCTCCAATTGAAATAAGAGGGGCAGGATTAGCATGTGGATTTGGAGAAGGAAAACGGCATTCATTGATAGACTGCGCATTTGGTTAATGTTTTTATTTTAAAATATTTTTAGGAATTATTTTAACCCTTCTCACTATCCTCTAAATTAACAACATCGGTAGCTTTCAAGAAACTGTCCCCGAACATCCTGGCCACTGGGAGCCCCAGACCCCCACCTCGAGGAAGGGCAGATAAAACCTACAGTAAATTTACTGTATCGATTACAAGTGACTCTTGTTATGATGTTTTACTTCCTTTCTAAAATTCATTATGAGGACAATGTGTTAACAGTTCTGAATTCTGGCTGATGGCGTAACCTGAGCAAGCGTTCAAGGTGCACCAATAAGCGCCAGAACAGTGCGCTGCCCGGGATTCTTTGACGAATTGGTGGCGCCATGCTGTTGGTGTATTTGAATGCTTGTTTTTACTCTTCTGAAACATTTTTATTTCTCCTAATTAAGAAGTCATTGTTTATCTCTTTCAATATAGACGTTTTACCGCCAGCACTAGAACAATAGCCATAAAAACCCAGACTTTCAATTGCAGGAGCCCCAACCTTGAGAGAGAAAAGGGTTCTTGATAAGACTTGCAAAGCTAAATTTTAAATCACAAAGAAATCTACATTTGGAGGTATGAGCTGAAACTGTCTAACAAAACTAGGGGTGGCCATGAAATCTTCACCCAAGCCAGGACGTTTCTGAGAGTGGAGGGGGGCACTTCTGTTAATCACATCAGGACGGCGGGCACAAACCATGACCACCATAGGCAAAAACCAGGGCATGTGGTCACCTTATCTGTAAGATGAGGAAAATGGGGAGAGCAGAAAAGGATGTACGCTTGCTCCCCATGAGGCAGCATGGTAATAAACTTGGTCCTCTGCTGGGGATGGAAGAGGGGAGTAACAGTCTAGACTCAAATGAGAGCTCTGCTCAGGGACCCCCCAACCTGCATCCTTCATGGGGCTCAGAACCCAGAGAGGGGTGAGTAGAAACCCCAGACACACAGAGAAGTGAGCATGGAACAGTGACGTGGCAACAGTCAGGCAGAGAGATGGCCTGAGAATCGTTTCACTCAAGTCAACAATTTGTTTAAAACTACTCAGGTACAATGTACTGTCCGAAGTCTTGGGATACGTCACAAAACAAATTTTAAAAATCTCTGCCCATAAAATCCCTTGGGATGCTCTTTTTGCCACCCTTGCCTCTTCCAGGTTCTCAGAGAGGAGGCCCAGACGTTTCTGTAGGCTCCGAAAAACTCAGATTGGAGAGCTAGCCTGCCTGCCAGGAGACCGTGCCAGGGCAGAGGCTGCAGGCAGAGGCTGGCTGGAAACCACTTGGAGCTGTGGGAGCCTGCGAGGAGACAGGGCCCGTGACAGCCAAGGTGCCCTCTGAGCGGCGAGCAGTCCACACATGACAAGAGCCATGGTCTGGGGGACCTGGGACCACAGGCCACGGGCTGCCTTTCCACCGCAGCCAGGGAGTGGGAAGGAAAGGCTGGCAGGGAGGACCCTAAAACCCTCCACATTTACCTAACAGAGCGAATGCAAAGTGGCCCAGAGGAGCAGCTCGGAAGAGCCTGTTGTTTTTGAACCAGCAGAATTTAAATTCCATGAATGGGAAAGCTCAAGTTTATTGTTTGTGTTAGATATTGTTTTGCTTTTCATCAAGCCAAAACAGGTGTTTGCGAGCAAGCCGAATCTAGTTACAGATAAAGAAAGAAAATTACCTTTCTGCCTCCCTGTACGGTATTGGTGAAGATACCACAGCTAAGGAAACTGGCCTTATGCTACACAAGGTACAGACGTTCTCTCTTTTCATCTCAGCCTCAGCTTTGTTGGGTCTGTGTGTGGATTAAAGAGAGAACACCTGCAGAAGTGCTCTCAGGGATGTTGCTTTACTTCCTCCCATTTTATAGGTGAGGAAACCGATGCTTCAAGAATTGGCTTGACCGAGCTCACACAAGTAATTACAGGTAGCATTACAAATATATAAGGTATGCTGAGTCCCAACCCAACACAGCAATAATGCGACCTCCATTCGTTCGCTGATTCATGGATTCATTCATTGCTTCATCGCTTCATTCATTCGTTCATTCATTCATATGTGACCCAGGTATTCTGGTAGATGTTAAAAACAGGCACAATTAAGCCCTCCAAAAACTTACAGTGAAAGGGCAATTTGAGCCATGTAAATATAATTATGGTATCGTGGTAATCACGGTGTAGGTGGTGAGTAACATAAGAGAGCTTAGGGTGCTGCTGTGCAAGGGGCACCACAGCCGGACCTGAGGACGCTGAAAAGGGAGACTTTCGGGAGGAAGCTTCTAAGCTCAGTGAGAAAAGAAAGGGCAGATGAAGAAAAGAATCAAGGGGGGATCGGCAGGGTGGGGGAGGGCCACATGCGCTGAGGCCGAGAATTCAGAAAGTTTCTTTAGGTAACCAGAAATAGTTCAGTAAGATTGGTGTTTGACAATAATGATAATAGCAAAAATCACTGAGCCTACTGATACGACAGAGAGAGTCAGAGAGATGAAATGACACAGTGCCACCAAGGGAAATGGCCACTGTGTCCAGTGCTCCCCAGAGGTCACGCGGGATACGGTCTGAGAGTGGTCATCAGAGTCAGTGGCGAGATTCGGCAGCCCGTGGCAGGGCAGTTCTGGTGGCGTGATGCGGCCATAGCCACACCGCGGTGAGCGCAGCCGCAAAGGAAGGGAGGAAGCGGAAACGGTTAAGCAGATGTCTCCTGCAGAAAGGGAAGAGAGAGCTCAGACAGCAGAGCTGTCTGGAAGTAGGTCAGGAAGGGGGGTTTTTTGGTCCTTTGGGGCATTTTAACTTTTTTGTAAGTTAGTCTTGAATGTGTTTAAATGTTGATCTAATCAGGAAAGACTTGTTAAGCAGGAGGAGCTGAAGTTAAAGGGGAGGGTTTGCTTGATCAAGTGCTGTCCCTAGGCAGATGGAAGAGCAGAATCACGGTGGAGAGAAAGGAAAGGCTGCGGGTGGACTCCGGGAAGTTTCCAGTTGGGAGTCCCTGCCTGGTTTTAGCTGGAGAAGGCGGTAGGACCTCGGATGGTAGGGTTTTATTGTTATTTAATTATTTAGGATGGGGGGCAGGGAGTTTTATTTATATACTAGCTGCCATGCTTTTTGCTGGGTATTTTACAAACACCAGCGTAACTTATTTCCGCAATGCTGATCCATCCGTAGTATCGCTCTCATTTTCCATAGGAAGAAACAAAAGCTTGCAAAAGTCAAAGTTCCCGGGTACCCAGCAGCCTCAGAGAGCCAAGTTTCCCTACCAGGTCGCTATGCCTCCAAAGCAAGGTCTTTCAGATATGTTCGCAGGCAGAAGGGAAAGAACCAGGAAAGAGAGGGATAAAAGAGGCAAAAGAAGCGTCTCTGGAAAAGGTGAATTCTATAGGAGGGGAGCTGAGGTCTGAGGACGCTGTAACGAAGCATAGCTCGATGACCCGGTCAAGGTGTCTGAGCTTTCAGGCAGCCTCCACCCAAAAAGTGCCTGCATTTCCAGGGCAGATTTTTGAGGAAGCTGGAGGGGGACCAAAACAATAGGGCACGTGAAATTTGCCAGCGACTTCAAGGGAAGAGCTTGAGGAGAGATGAGAAGGGAAAGGAGAATGGCCTGGGAGGAGGCAGCGCTCGCCAACCATGACAGGGTCCCTGAAAAGCTCACAAAGTCCCGCCCCCTTGCCCCTCCCCGCCCACCGCCGGCTTGGCCTGCCCGCACCCCATCTCCTCGGCTAACCCTACCACTCTTAGCCCCAACCTGCCCCTGCCTCTCCCATCCCCAGGGCCATGAGGCTGACACGCAGGCTTGCAGCGTCAGAGAACCTGCACCGGGAACAATGGAAGTGAGAAGGGGTGGAACGCCCCGCGGGGGGCTGCCGGGCCCCGCCCTCCCCCCCAGCAGGGGGCCTCAGAGGGCTTCTGTGAACAGACGGCTTGTTCCCCACCTGGCCCACCTTTCCTGCTCATGTCACCTAGCAAAGGAAGTGGGACCAGAGCCAGCAGGGCTTCTACTTCTCA